GCTTTTAAGTGACAAATCGGCCAAAGAAGAAATCAGATGGAAATTAGATACTATTGTGAAATGAAGGAAAATTAGGATGTATAATATCAAAATTTATGCTGTGCAGGTAGGCAGCACTTACAGGGAAATTTATAGCTTTAGGTGCTCATATTATTAGATTTAAGCTTTCACCTTAAGAAACTAGAAGAAAAAAGAGAAATTAAACATAATTACACAAGAAAGGCAATAAAGAGAAGAAATCAACTGTATGGGACAGAAAAAATAGTGGAAAAAAAACAAAAAAAGGACAACACCAAAGCTGGCTTTTGGAAAAGATCAATAAAAATTGATCAAGAACAAAGATAAAGGACAAAAACCAATAACAGGAACAGAGGAAGGTCCATCAGTACAGGTATGGAAAAAATAATGGAAAATATTAGTAATAGCCTTATATCAATAAATTTGACAATGAAATGAAAATAAATGAAACGATATGAAAAAGTCCTTGAAAGATACAAATTATCACAGTTCACTGAAAATGAAATAGGTAGCCTCAATAGTCCTACATCAATATAAAAAATTGAATCAACGGACAAAAAGCCCCACATCTAGAAAACTCGAGGTGCAAATGACTTCACTGGTGAATTCAGTGTTTAAGACAAACATTACATCAGTTCTGTGCAAACTTAGAAAACAAACAAACACTTCCCAAGTCATTTATTAGGCTAGCACTGCCCCCAAATAACCAGACGAGGTTATTAGCAGAAAAGAAAACCACAGACTAATTTCCCTCATGAACACAGGCGCAAAAATCCTCCACAAAATAGCAAATCCAGTCCAGCAATATATAAAAGGCTAATACATCATGGCCAAATAGAGTTTATCCAAGGAATGCAAGTTTGCTTCAACATTTGAACATCAAACAATGTAATTTACCATTTCGACAGACTAAAAAAAGCAAAACAACATAATCATCTCAGTAAATACAGAAAAAGCATTAGAGATTATTCAACACTCATTATAAAACTCAACATCCATTATAAAAATTCTGAGCAAACTGGAAATAGACAGGGACGTCTTCCCTTGATAACAGATGTCTGCAAAAGCACCTTCCCCTAATCCACCAAACAGTGAGGAGTGAATGCCTCCTCCCTCAGATCAGGGGAGAGGTGAGGTGTCCACCTCATGACTTCTACTGGGCATCATCCTAGAGGTTCTCTGGAGTGTAATTAGGCTATAAAAAGAAGCAATAACGCATCCAGTTAGGAAAAGAAGAAAAAGAACTCTTTAGAGAAAATATGATTACATAGAAAATTCTAAAGAATCTACAAAAAAGTTGCTAGAACAATTAATGAAATTTAGCAGGGTTGCAGAGCATAAGGTTCCGGGTACCAAGATTAATTCTATTTCTGTCTCTTAGCAATAAACAGTTGAATATTGAGACATGTATATTTTATATATACAAAACATCAGTAATACCAAATACTTTGGGATACATTTAACAAAATATGGGCAAGAGCTGTACCCTGGAAACTCCAAAGCATCGCTGAGAGAAAATAAAGATTTCTTTTAAAATCTCTCCTATCAAGGAGCTTACATTCCAGTGAAGGGGACGAGCACTAGATAAATAAGTTAAATGTACATTATTGTAATATGATTAAGCCTAGGAAAATAAGGGAAAGGGTAAGGAAACGTCAGAGGCAGACTGTTGAGATTTCTAGATGTCACGGCCACTGAAAAGAGGCAAGGCGTCACTTAGGAGGCTTTCGAGAAGAAAGCTGACAGGTGACCACCTAGAGCATTTCGGGCAGGAGCAAGACCATCACAAGGGCCACGAGGCCAGCCTGTACCCGGCTTGCTCTGGGAAGGTGTAGACAGCAGTGTGGCTGGGGTGAGGGGGCCAAGGGGCCATACTTGGAGATGGGGACCGAGAGCTGATGGGGACCAGGCAGCAGGCCCACTGCTCAGTGGGAACTTTGACATTCAGTCCACATGTGATGGAAGCTGAGGGGGTGTGAGTTGGGGGGCAGAGTGATGATTCCTGTCCTGCAGAGAGGGCTCTGACCCAAGGGGCTAGAAGAGACTGCAGGGGGCAAAGTCAGAGCCTGGGAGACAGCTGGAAGCTCACTGCGATGGCCCAAAAAGAAGGACCCATGCTTAGATCAGGGTGGGGCAGGACCAGCCGGGCGGGGGTGGGGGTGGGGGACTGTTCTGAATAGACTTTGACGGAAGACCCCCAGCAGTTTCTGCTCAGCTAGATGTCAGGTGTGTGAGACAGAAGAGAAAGGAGAACCAGGAGCTTGGCCAGAGCGGCTGAGTGGGTGGGGTTGCCGTGTCGGAGATGAGGAGGACTGTCCCCGGGGCTGGAGGGAGAGGGGAGAGGCTCTGTTTTATCCCTGTTACAATGAGACGCCCAGCTGACATTCAAGTGGAGACACCAGGGAGGCAGTGGAGCCTAAGCTCAGGGTTGGGTCCAGCCGGGTTCGGGGGCGGGGGGGCGAGGTCTGGGACACATGGCGGTTGAAATCCTCAGCAGGTACCTGGTTTTCACAGCCACGAGGCTGGATGGTATCATCTACGATGTGATTTCTGATCGAAAAGCAAAGAAGCCCAATTATTAATGTTGGTTACTCCAACATTCAGAGGTCAGGGAAAAGAAGGGAGCCAGCAAAAGTTAAGGAACAGAAACATCAAGGAAGAGTGAGGAGAAAACCAGGCGTGCATCCTGGAAGCCAAGTGGACAGAGGGTTTTGAGGAGGAGAAGGTGATCGGTGTGCCAAGAGGAGAGCTGAGAAATCATCATGGCATGCAGCACGTTAGGGTCTGGTAACCTTGAGAAGATGAGTTTGGGTCGAGTGGGAATGAAAACATGGTAGGAGTGAACTTCAGAAAAAAATAGGAGAAAACTCAGAGCATAGCAAATACCTTCAAGGAGATACGGATGCAGTTTTCTGAAGATACAATCCACATTGCCCAAAACATACCCAGTGAGGATCGAATGTGCCCGTCGCAGGGAAGTATTAACTGAGCTCCCAGTGAGGCACCACCGTCCATGCGTCAGAGGGTCAAACCCCAGAATACATATCAGTGCTTCCTGCTGCCTGAGAAGGGAGAAAGTATGCATTCATTCATCAGTAGTGGGAGTGTTAATTCCAAAAACATTTTTTAAACATTTTTTAAAGATCTTATTTATTTATTTGACAGACAGAGACACAGCGAGAGAGGGACCACAGGCAGGGGGAGTGGGGGAGGGAGAAGCAGGCTTCCCGCCGAGCAGGGAGCTCGATGCGGGGCTCGATCCCAGGACCCTGGGACCATGACCTGAGCTGAAGGCAGATGCTTAACAACTGAGCCACCCAGGCGCCCCTCCAAAAACATTTTCGAAAAGCAATTTGACAATATCTATTTGCATTCTTTTAAAAAAACTTGTAAATCACCAATCCCACACTTAGATATCTGTCCCATAAAAAATTGTTAAAAGCTCACACCCACCAGTAAAGAAACATGGAGGATGATTTTATTACAGTGTTGCGTATCATGACCACCCTGGACACACAGGACAGCCCGTCCTCATCACTCAACGGCTTCTGTGTTTGCAGGCTCGCCGGTGTGCTAAAATGTGTTTGTGACATCCGGACGAACATTCCCAGGGCTTTTGCAGTCATTCCCAGGCGTGTGTATAGTGGCAAAAACATTGGAGTTCCCGAGCTCATACTGTGAACAAGTGTTTTCTAGTGGGTGTGGCCTAGGTAGTGCCAAGTTTTCCACGTTTTTGTGGTTTTTTTCTTGGAGATCATGTTGTTTGGAATGGTCGCCGAGGATAGTGCTGAAGTGCCGGGTAGTGATCCAAAATGCAAGAAGGCTGTGATGTGTCTTACGAAGAAAACCCGTGTGAGGTGAGCTGTGTCCAGGCACGAGTTACACTGCTGTCCCTGTGAGTTCCGTGTTAATGCATCAGCAACATATATTCAATAAGATGCCTTTAAACAGAAGCACGCATGAGACAGGGTTATGTGTTGATTGACACATTTATGTGATGGTTGACAAAAGGATTGTGACCAGAGCCTCGCCGAAACCTAGCCCTGCATTTCCCCTAGGAAATGCTTCAGTATTCTCTAACTCGGAGTTTGTGGACACTTTCCAGAACATAACTGCAACGAATACCAAGAATCTTATGGAACTACCCTTTAGTAAGGACTGAGTGTGTAAATCAAGGTATATCCACACCACAGAATACTATGCAAGCTCTAAAGATCAGCAATCCAGTCTAAACTGATGCAGGGAAAACCCAAGTGAGAGATGGGTGCGCTGCAATGTCACTTTTCACTGTGGTTACAGACCCATATGTTTGCACGTGGCCGTAGGATTGTCAGTAGGGTGGCCTGCACCAGGCTGATGAAGAGGGTGCTTCTGAGTGGGCGTGAGGGTCTGCCCATCAGGGTGAGCGCAGCCAAGGAGGTGGGAGAAATTAAAGGGAGACAGGACTTTTGATGACGTCATTTATGTAAAAATGCCTGTGTCCCATGAAGACATTTGAAGGAAGAGGCACGGTTAGTCGTCTGCACACTGACCAAGTTGTGGGTCGGTGTCTATGATGGCTTAAAAGCGAGGTAGAAAATAACGTGTAGAATGTGATTCTCTTTTAGGAACCAGTCTGCTTAATGTAAGCTTCTAAGCGTACGAATGAGCAAGTGAACCCGTGTTTAAAGATACAGAGAGGATGGGAGTCTTGTGGGGAAGGGATTACTGGTTTTCATCTTTACTTCCATTGATTTGTTTCCATAGATACCATAAGTATTGCTTTGCTGCAACTTGAAAAAAAAAAAAACGTGAAAAAGTATCAACTACCTGAATATTATTCGGCAAAGAAAGGAAATTGCCATCTTTAATACAGTTTAGCGAGTTCGCTGCATACAAATTTTATTAGCAGGTTTTGAAAATGGCACCAGCAAGCACACATTCCCTACAAGATTCTGAGCTGTGTTATTTAACGCTGTAAAATCCTTTTTTTTTTCTTTTAGGAATCATTAAGAGCCATCCGATATGAAATATCTCCAGATAAGGAGTACGCTCTGTTTTCATACAACGTGGAGCCAGTGAGTACCGCTCTTTTATATTAAAAAAAAAAAAGTTTCTCTCTTTTGAGACCTTATTGAGTATTTTCCCTTGATCCTTCATTCTTAGGGATCTTGGAATCCTGAAAACAGTGGGTGAGTCCTGAATTAGTCTCTTTTTATGCCACACTGCCACCTAGGAGAGAAGACAGGTATAAAAATCCCTTTGGCAGGGAAAAAAAATCAGTCCTTTTAGGGGTAAATTCATAGGATTTTCCTGAGGGAGAAGGTGAGAAGTTGTCTTTTTGTAAAGATTTATCTTACCCTTTTGTGCCATCATTTTTCTTCCCATTTCTCAATCATACCATAAATTTTATGGTATGATATCCGCCCATGTAGAACACGGGTGATAAACAGGCACCTTGAAAGAACCCTTTCTTAGAGAGAACAAAAAGCAACTGCCAGGTTATCCCTAAACTAAAATAAAATGTTAATTATCTCCTAGCCATTGTAGTATTCTAGAGAAGACTTGAAATATCACTTTCATTATATAAATCCCTGTTTTTAGCACTTCATCTGAGTCTCCCATAAAACCGCACCAGGATTTTCCACAAAATCTCACCCTAGCAGCAGCCTAAAACTAGCTCTTTTTTTTTTCTTTTTGTCTTTTAACAGGCTCATATTTTAAAATTCATCTCAGCTCTTTAATTTTAAATGAGCTAGAAGGTGAAATTTATTTGTGTAAGTGTAGCAGATGTTCAGCTTACAAGAGATGAGCAACTTTAGGGCGCCTGGGTGGCTCAGTTGGTTAAGCGACTGCCTTCGGCTCAGGTCATGATCCTGGAGTCCCAGGATCGAGTCCCACATCGGGCTCCCTGCTCAGCGGGAGTCTGCTTCTCCCTCTGACCCTCTTCCCTCTCGTGCTCTCTATCTCTCATTCTCTCTCTCTCAAATAAATAAATAAAATCTTAAAAAGAGAGAGAGAGAGATTAGCAACTTTAGAAATGTGCATTTATGGAACTTTATTCTCCGGCAAGTAAACGATAGAATTCCTCTGCCTTTCCGGTTCTTCTGAGACCATTCTGTCCAGAGTTTTGTGACGCTTCTGAGAGCTCTAAGGGTACCTGCATTGTCATTCCAGCCTGGATCGCTTCCTGGTGGGTTGAGAGGCTCTTGCCCCAGCAAGGGGAGGGCAGACTCGTGGCGTTCATCCCACGGGAGCCGCTGAGAGATTGGTGTACATGGAGATCCAAGTCCAATCCTAGGATTTTTAAATTTTCTTGTAAGAGTTATGTGATGACTGGATTATTTATTGGAGATTTCCATTTTTTCCCCTCAAAATGTAGATCTTTAAAAAAAAACAACTCTATCTTCACTTTTCCATTTTCTGATTTTTTTAATATCCATTACATAAAAGTTTTCATTTTTCCCACCCATATTCTGTGGAACAGCTGGTCATCTTTATCTACTAGATTGGGGATGGCTAGTGGAGTGGGCATGGTAAAAGGCAACTTTTAGCCTTGGGATGCTACATGCCCTACACCCACCCCTGCGCTCACCTCCTTAAGCTTCAAGCACATGGATCATATGATGTACATGGATCACAGAGTACTTCTGTCCTTTCACGGAAACTACCAAAAATGTAATCTCTACACTTGAATAAGAGAAAAAAACTCAGTAGATACTTGAAGGACTTTCATAGGGATGGGGTAATGGCTTTGTCCTGGGTTTCTCCGGGAAACACAGCCAACACCCAAGTGAGAAAAGCATAGAAAGACAGATTTCAGGTCATCTTACTCTAGAGCATCTTTTAACAATAGGAGCATCCCTACAATGGGAGATTCCTGCCTCTGGAAGCCTTCAGAACAAAGTCTTGTATTTGTTCTCCCAAATCTTGCGGAAGAGATTCTCCCATCTGCTCAATGGGAGCATGTGGGCTCATCCATGATTGTGTGGTTCTGTGTGTGGTAGACTTCGCCACCACTTTTCCTTGGTCTTTCCCGATGCTCCTTCTGCAAGAGTGCCTTGGGTCCCCATTCCAAGTGATGGCTGTTTTGCTAAACGTGAGTCTTCGCCATGTAGAACACGGGCGATAAACAGGCACCTTGAAAGAACCCTTTCTTACCACGCAGCATCCGTTTGCCTTTGGAGTAGGATTGTGTTGTTTCCTCAACTGAGGAAAAATATAAGACATTTAGAGTGGATTTAGTGAACAACAAAAATAATTCGAGTGTTGAAAATGTGTGGGCTACATAAAAAAATCTGTGGAAATGGATACTTTAAACTTGACTCAGAGGAGCAACCCTCCCTGGTTTCAAGTAGTGAGCAGTCCCCATTGTAGGACTACGCAAGGGTTCTGCTCTGCGGGAAACGTTAGTCCTCTAATGGGGTCTCCACCAAGGACACTTGGAGTTAGGAGGTATTAGGAATAACTGCCTAACGGATAAAGTGAGTTGCAGATACTTTCAGAAAAGGGGGTGGGTTGCAAGGGAAGGGTCTAGGTCTCTAATACTGGAGAAAGTGCAACAAACCGGGACTCCCTACTTTGTTTTTAGTGTCAATATAATTATCCCTGGATATTCTAAAAAAAAAAAAAAAGTTTCCATATTCAAATACATGTAAGAACTTTAAATAAAATTAAGTAAGTTTCTTTAGTGCAGGATGTTTTGAAACTTTTTTATATTCTCGTGAGGGTTATATAGTAGTTCCCAAATGGGTATTACAATATGTGATTCCTATAATGCTAAGGAAACTAGACTTCTGTCGTTGGATCCATTTTTATCACATTCCCATTTGTGTGCTTCAGAGGCAGCCAGGATATCTACTTTCTAGGAACTAACTCAACTTTTCATTGAAAAGGTGATCATAAAAAAATATTTTTGTATGAACCAACTGTCCAATTACAAGGCATCTCTCATGTAATAGAATAAATGTTTCATTTGTAATAAAATGTCAGTATACTGGGTTACAGCTTCACCCCAATGTGAATGTGCATATTATCCAAATATTGCACATTCCCTTCCAACCACCACTTCTCCCTGCTGCCTGCCCACAGTGGACTGCAAGTCAGATGGCCCCAGACTCAAGTTCAGTCCTCTGCCTCTTTTGAGCCTAGCCTCTCACCTTAAACAAGGCGGGAGGGACGCCTGGGTGGCTGAGTCAGTTAAGCGTCTGCTTTCAGCTCAGGTCATGATCCCAAGGCCCTGGGATGGAGTCCTGCACTGGGCTCCCTGCTCAGCAGGGAGTCTGCTTGTCCCTCTGCCTGCCGCTCCCCCTGTTTGTGTACTCTCTCTTGCTCTCTCTCTGACCAACAAACAAACAAAAACAAAGGGGCAGTGGGTATCCAGCTGCAGTGGGTATCCAGCTGTGCTGCTGGGGGGGCACTGACTGTGTTAGCACATGGGAAGCACTTAACCTGGCAAACTACAGGCGCCCCGACAACAGTGTCCCTCTCCAGGGCTTGGACATGGGGCTCTTTCCTCAGGAAGATTCGAGCTTCTTCCACAGTGATGTCTCCAGTTACTCTTTTATTTAAAAAACAAAACAAAACAAAACTGGGCAGTACGTCACGGAGCCTGCACCATAGTTGTGGAAGCATGCAAACAGGCCACATGGGACTGCCAAGAGGAGTTTCATGAGCATCAAACAAAAGGATTTGGCCCGTTTAGGTGGACCCGGAAAGGCTTCCAGAAGGCATCAAAACTTCAGCTGAACTCTGATGGAGTCCTTGTGGCCTGAGGATGTGTGGTGAATAAGAGGAACAGAGAAACCCAGTGGGGCTAGAGAGAAGGCGGGGTTTACCCATCAGGTTTGGGGCTACAAGGAAGGTGGCAGAATCTTGAGCTGTTCACGGATTTGCTTTTGCAATTGAGTTTCAAGTCACTCTGGGACATTTAATAAGAGTATAATTTACAAGTCAATAACTAGAAAGATGGGTGTGAATCTCCTAAGCAGTGTCTGGAGTGGAGAAAATCTTCAAAGTAATTAACTTAAAGGAGGAAGATACAACCATGGGTGTGAATGACCTGACGCACAGGGACAATTACAGGAAACACATGGAAGGGAAGAAGGCATGAGACTGGGTCTTACAGAAATTCGATACATTGTATAGCTTATAAAGGGTAAATCTTCCAAGGAGTAAGAAGAGAGGTTGAATAGGAGAAGAGGCAACAAAGCATCTTATTATGTATGTAACAGAAAGGAAATGCTCTGTGGCCTCTGAAGGTTGTCCCAGCGCCTGGGCTCAGCCCCCAGGCAGGTCTTCCTTCTCTCGAGGTGATCTCCCTCCTCCTTGTGTCGAGAGGTGCCATCCACAAGATGCTGAAGTCCTGGTTCATGTTTCTGTCCTGCACCTTCCTCTCAGCCCCAGGATTGGTCACCATTGTGACCAACTGGCTCTGGATGCCTTTGGACCTTCTGTGGAGCCTTGTGCGCTTTAGAAGTCTGCTTGGGGGGTAAAAGAGGGAGCATTATCCCTCAGCCTCTGCCCTCCATCCCTGAAGGGTAGCCCAACCCAATGAGTGCCAGCAAGCGCACTTCCAGCTTGCATACTTTTGAGCACAGAGAGACTCCGTGGCTGTGTCCAGGGCCAGGGGTGAGGCCCTCTCCAGCTGCACCCACCTGAGGTTGGGTGAAGTTTGCATGTAATCACCCACCTTGGCGGTGGCTCCAGTAGAAGGGCTGGGGAGGGTGGTCCACGTGGAGAGGCCGGGAGAGAATGAGAAGAACAGATGGTCCAGGAGTTTGGATATAGATAGAAGGCAGTGTCTTGAGGACAGTAAGGGTTGAAGGAGGGATATTTTAAGTTTATAATAGTAATTGTGTGTGTCTTCCTCTCATGTCTTCAGACTAATTGCAATGTGACATCATTTCCCAGTTGTTTGACATAAACATTTGGCATTTATTTATTTGTCAGCTACTCAGAGAAAGAAGGTTTTGTTTTTTTTTTAACCTCCTGTCCACCCCCACCCCTCGCACGAGACCGTCTCCGTCGGTTTGGTGCACCGGTCAGCTTGACACACACAGTTTGGGGGCATTCTGACCCATCAGAGCAGCAAGCAGGCAGAACCCAGGGCGTCAGCAAGACAGCATTCCCAGCACTTATGACCTAACGGCAGCCATGCCTTCCCGATTGTGTTCTGTTGGCGAGAAACACGTCACTGGGCTCAGCCGACCCGTGAGGCGAGGGGACTCCACAAGGAGTGAATGCGGGGAGTGGGGGGTTGTCAGGAGACCTTCAGACGCGCCTGGCATACTGTGTGTAAGGAAGTATGCTTCCTCACATCTATAGGGCACTTGAAGATCCTGCAGTCTGCTAAAGAACACAGTACACCTGCCGGAAGAGTATAATAACTTGCTTTCTTCCCCTGCCCTGAGTGCCAAGAAGTTGGAGAAGCCTGGAGAGGGCTGGGCTGGGGGCAGGAACACCGGGCGGGTCATCACTCCTCTGCAAGCCACTTGCTGATGACCAAGGGGGATCAAACCACTTTAATTTTCATCAGAGAAGTGGGGATACTGTGTTGTTCATTAGTGACCCAGGGATATAATGGATACCAATGATGGAAACCACTGTGAATAATAACCCACCTGTCTGGGTCATGCTGCAATTAAATGAGTCATGTCAGAAGACGCCTAGCCCAGATCCTGATATAGAGTGGATTCTCTCCCTATGTAATCCCTTTTACTGTTTTATTTTTATTATATTTTCAAGCTTGGTGGCATAAAGATGCTACATAAATCCATGGAAGCACAGTATTACAATGATCCTCTTAGGAACCCGAGTGAAAACGTACTCTTTTTTTTATATATACTACCTCCAGAATCTCAAATTTAGCAATAAAATTAGAATGCAGGGAGAAATCATTAGGTCATTAAACGTGGACATATTTCTCGTGGTTTCCTGGTATGTATCTTAAAGAGCTTTTAAAGTTTTGTGCTGGAAAAGGAAAGCTTACAAAGAAATATTATTATGTTCTTTTGTTCTTCTACGGATTATATATTGGTAGTTAACGATGACACCACTTACTAGTTGGGGAAGTTAATCAAGTAATTTGCTCTTCTAAATGCAGATGGTGGTTCGTAGAGCCTGGTTTTCTGTCTCTGGCCATCTCCAGAGCCCCCACCCGCATCCATGGAAGAGAAGTTTGGGGATAGATCTTCGAGGGGTGAACAGCCTGGGGCATTTCCCATCACACAGAGGTAGAAAGCGGGGTTTTTCCCGGGTCTCTAGCACTGAAAACTTCTAGACCTTCTGCCATCTCTGTTTTTCCTCAAGGTGGATGGTAAAAGCTGGTGTCACAGCAGGAAGCCCCTGGTCCCTGAGCTTCCCAGACCCTGTTCCTTGGCGGAGAGAGGGATCATATCCAGCTTCTAGAACCTGCTTCCGTGAACCCAAGTTTATCTTGCTCAAACCTGAGAAAAGGGGATGTGATACTGGGCTTTTCACTGCAGAAATCTGAAGCGGCTTAACATTTGATCAATTCCTGTGCTTCTCCTACCCTTGGAGTGAGGTCCTGCAGCCCATTCATGCCACCTAAGGGATGATGAACTTCTAAGTCGGGTAAAGCTTGGAAAGCACTCAAACACAGACAGTCCCGATCAAGCTGGTGGGGTGACCCTGCCCTGAGTCGGCAGTTCACCTGTCAGGTGAAGTTACCCATCACCCACATCTAGGAGACTTTATAAACATAAGGGATTAGCGAGAAATTATCGGCCCCATATTCATGGGCTAACTCTGTTGGAAATGAATTTACATAATGCTGGGGATATAACTTCCTGCAGCTAATCCGGCTGTAGTTGTAGTGTGGTCCCGTGGTTCTTAGTACACCCCTTCTTGCCGGGAAGAACTGATGAAAACTCTGCCCAGGGGTATCTAAGGGAGACGTGTTTCTTAATTCTTGGGCTGTTGAACTAGATCTTTCCGCTTTATCTGAGAGCCTTTTCTGGGCCCGTCTCTGGGAACCTGCGGATGCCAATGGTTCTTGCTGCACCGATCTCTTGCACATTTCCAGGTGTAGGGACTGATGTCAGCATTGCGGGGAGCCCTCCGTCTCCGTCCGCAGCACACGGAAGAGTGAGGCTTGGTCAGGCGCCTTCCCACAGCCGCTCTGATGGCAGGAGGCGAGGCTGGCCTTCAGAGAATTCTCCTGCCTCCTCTCCAGGGCCCAAAGCCACCCTGTCCCCCCTGGAAGTACGCCCAGACCTTTCCCCCTTTATTCTGTGATCAGATCTGCCGTTGCCTTTCCAACTGTCTTTCCTGTAGCCAAATTTGTGCAAGAAATTGCCCACATTGCTGTGTTAGCACCCTGACGGTGGGCTGCTAACAGTCCAAGGCCTGGTTATCTGCCAGCTGCTTACTCTGTTCGACCGCTGAACATTGTCATTCTGTTCCGGAACCTGGACTGGATCGCCCGACGGAAGAACCAAGCAGCACTCGGAGATCTTGGAGGACAGGAGGTTTATTTAACGCTGGCGGGCTCAGAGGAGAATGGTCTCCAAAGGTCTGAGCCCCGAGCACAAACGAAGGGGGTAATTTATACACTTCTGCTTCCTCATACTTGGCACTTTTGGCGCGTGCACAAAGTGGGGCAGGGAGAGGAACCCGGATTGGCACGAGCAGGAAGCAGAGCAGGAAGAAGAACCCGGAAGAGCCCCGGGTCGGGCTGGGACTCCCTTGCTGGCTCGGTGGGCCATCTTAGGACACAGATTTCCCTTATCAATTTGGGTTTTGAAACACCTGTTTTCACAGAGCACCTCTCAGGGCACTATGCATGCGGTTCCAGAAGCTTCTGAAAGTACAACAAAGCAAAGTTCCTGCAAAACTATGTAAGGGCCACGCCACCGTAAGGCAGCGGGTGTGGATTTCCATCCCCCCCACCCCCACGAACGTCCTGTCTAGTGTCACCGACTGGGCATAAATTCTTCCTTGATGGTAGTTTGCAATGATAGGTTCTTAGCATCTTTGGGTGTATTGTTTTGTTTGTTTGTTTGTTTGTTTTTAAAGATTTTATCCATTTATTTTACAGGGAGAGACACAGCGAGAGAGGGAACATAGCAGGGGAGTGGGAGAGGGAGAAGCAGGCTCCCCACTGAGCAGGGAGCCCGACGTGGGGCTCGATCCCAGGACCCTGGGATCATGACCTGAGCCAAAGGCAGACGCTCAACGACTGAGCCACCCAGGCGCCCCGGGTGTATTGTTTTTTGTAGTTGTATTGTTTTAACACAAAACTGGTTCAAAACATATACACACACAGAATTTTGGTGTTTTGTTTATGTGCCTTTCTATTCAGGTTTTGGAGCTAAATTTAAAAGCACAAAACTCAGCATAGGAAATATGTGGCTCAAACAGTGGTGGTTTTCTCAACCAAATGCAAACATTGTTAAGGTAATTGTGTGTGTGTGTGCGCACGCGCTCGCGCGTAGCTCTGGCAGGAGGGGAGAAATAGGGGATCTAACTTACCTGAAATAGTCCACGGATCAGAAAGTTTGAAGATGAATACTTTTGAGTACAGTTTCCATAGGGTGCTTGACATACTAGTTTGTATCGTGGAGCGCTGCAGAAAGAGGCTGCTTCTGCGTCCCCACGGGGCGGGGGGGAAGGACGTCCAGGAGCCCTACAAGCAGGGCGGGGCTGCAGCGCGATCGGCTGTAGCCAGCCGCGGCCGCGGGCCTGTGTGCTGTGCTTGTGAGTCCAGCAAGCCTCTCCCCTCTCAGCACCGCAAGCTGACCGCTGCCGGTGTAGCCTCCTCATTGGCCTCTCTGCTTCTCCTCTAGCTCCCTGTCCAGGCTGGTCTCCACAGGTGGCAGATGCTCTTTCAGACTGAAATAAGGTCAGGTCAGTTTTCTCCTGGGCCCGTGGCTTTCAGCACAGGCCGGTGGGATGCCTGTGTCTGCAGGGGCCTGGGGCCTGCGTGTCCTTCTCCACCTGCTCTGTCTGGGGTAGCAGCCTTCCCTCTATGGCTCTAACATGCCACACCCCTGCTGACCCCAGGACCTTTGAACTCACTGTGCCCTCTCCGGAATGTCCAGCTTCTGGGAAAGGGCCCCTCCGCGAGGTGGAGGAAGGAAGGAGGAGATGACTGGAGACATCTTCGGCAGAGTGGTGAGAGGGTCACTGAGTTTCTTTGGAGGCATTCTCTTAGTTTTCCCAGGAACTTGTGAGACAAGGTCACTTGCTCAAGGTGATGACAGAGGCGTGGGGGGTCTGAGGGAGTGTGGTTTGAAGGGAGCTGGTTAGTTTCAGGCGGCAGGAAAGCCAGCCAGCCGCCCATCCGGCCACTGGTGGATCAGCAGGCTCGTTGGGGTCTGGTGTATGGTACCAGCTGAAGCTGGAAGTCTGGCAGGCGAGTGAAATTGGGAGTTAAACAGTGTTTTGGAGGGCGTGATTTTCTGGCGGAGCCGTGGAGACTCACGGGATGGTGGAGGGAAGTGAGGCCAGGCGGGGCCCGCAGGAGGAAGGGGGTCGGAAGTCTGCGGTGATCGGGGGATGTGAGCACAGGTGGTAGGACAGGTGCAGCTGTGGGAAAACGGGACAGTGCTCCCAGCGGAGACGGAGGACACGCGTGCTCCGAACCCTTAGTTTACTCTACAGGGCAGGCGTTTCAGGGGACGCCACGGCATGGAAGGTCGGAGAGGCGAGGGAGAGGCTCAGACGGCGGACATTGAGCAGCTCTGGGGAGACAGGTGGCGGCCTCAACTTCCCCAGGTGAGCGGCGGTAACAGAACAGCGGTCATTCCTGGAGGCCACCGGCCCGTGCAGGGTCTCTGAGTAATCCAGATGAATGAGGGAAGTTTGTGTCATTGGTAATAAAAAAAAAATGAGGAAATGTACATGGAAATGAGGTTTGCTGAGTGACATGGTGAGGTATTAGAGAATACTTAATTGCTTCCATTATGAACAGCCATCATTGTAATGTAGTGAGGGGAAAAATGACTCAAATTCTTCCTGAAAGATTCGGTCCTCAGTTCCAATTTAGCAGTCCATTATTGTGGGTGAGCTCATTAGCAGCAATTACATGCAGAGACGCAAAGCTGATTAATATGAGGACGGAGCTGCTAGGGCCTTCTGAACAACAATTAGGGCTCAGAGACTTTCACCAAAGATCATTATCTCTACTTGGTGGTTGGAGCATTTTTTTTCTGTTACTACAAACTGGAAGGAATTCGTCATTGTGAGTTAGGACCAGTTCCTAAGTTCCTTCCCTGTGATCTTGGGTTCCAACTGCCATCAAGGAAAATGGTTTAACAGAATATTCCATGAAGATGCCGTCCAGAGTATTTCCAACAATATCCACACATATGGCTGTGTTAGTTCAGTGGTAAAATTAGACAACCCACTTCTGGAAACAGGTCAGGACATGCTTCTGCTTTTCTCAAAGGCAACTGAAGTTATATGTTTATGATAACAGATAGACTTTTCAGAATGTAGTTTTTAGGAGTTTATTATGTTCCCAATTTTTTCCTGGTATTTCCACAATAAGGAAGCCATATAATTTGAAAAACCCGATGATACGCTCTGTGCGTGATAGAGCAAGTGCCTTGTAATTTTGTATTCTGTTAAATAATAGGTTTTAATTTTCTAGCAGTCTTTTCATTTCTTACTGGGTGGTTTTGCTCCTCAGTGCTACTGTAAGAAAAAGCCTGAAAATGGGAGAGGAAGTGTTCAGGGTTGCTCAGTCATGTGGTAACAACACACATGAACATCAAGGCTTGGCAGGTTTTATTGATGCATCTGCTATGGTGGGACTTCCAGCCAAGTCAATAACCACAATTTTTGAATCTGTAGAAATTAATGAGCAGAAGTGATCAGTTGCTTGAATGAGCCTTAAATTGGGTGCTGCCCTGGGCCTTTCGGTGTCTCGCCTCTCCTGGACGGTGACGCCAACGTAAACATCAGAGGGCTTGTTTCTGCAGGATTTTCCCATGTGTGTGTGTGTGCATTGTGTGTGTGAAAGGATAGTCGATGTCTCCACCAGAGGTGGGGGGGGGGAACAGAGAGGATTGTGCAGTGTTACTTCTCCAGCAGCTCTGCAATCTGTTATATAATTAAGAAATTATAAACTGGAAAGATAGTCATCCTTTGAAGTGGAAGGAGCCCAAGCCAGGCATCATTCCATAATTGAGCATTCCACCTAACCTACTCATTCGGGGTTTTGAGAATTTTGAATTTTTTTTTGGCTGCCACAACAGCTACCAGAGATAATTATCAAAAGAAAGAAAAGGGAAGGACAGAAATTCATGAGGAGGTTGGGTGGACACTTTGCTTTGATTACATGATTTCTTGGATGAGGAAATAAGAGTTCGTGAAATCATCCCTTAGTTTAATCTACAAATGTCACCATAATCAATTCTAGTTGATTGCCCTGCCCCAAATGAACCAAGAGTTTTGACACCATCTGAGACCACAGGGTGTTCTTAAAAGCCAGGTAAAGGGATGCTATTGGCAGACTGCCCTTTGAGTTGTCCTGACTTAAGTATCAGTCACATCCTCTGCTGATGGTCACCAGAGAGCCCATCATGGGTGAGGTGGTGGGGCCAGCGTGCCATGAGCAGCAAAGGGGCAGATGGGAAAGGAGGAGACAGGTGCCTGGTGCCGGTCCATTCCCACATATGTAAATGTGCATGCTCTCTGAACGCCTGAGGAAAGAGGGTCATGGAGTGAAAATCCAGGAAGGGTTAGGAGCACGAGAGCAGGAGAGCTGCTTCTAAACCTTGAGTGTTTCCCTGTGCACAACGGAGGGAGAGGGGTGGGACGAGCCACCAACATGACCCTGGGGATACAGGAAGGAACAGCAACCAAACCTGCATCTGCTGACATCACGGGGTCAAGGGCAAGGTGTCCTCCAAAATAAACCCCGAAGATACAGTCAGGGAGATGAGCTGAAGAAGGCGTGGGCTAGTGCAGTGCCGGCCGTGGCATTTGGGGGAAGGTGGCGGAGGAACGGGGCAGGGAGCAGATCAGACGAAGAGAGAGGGCTCGTGTGGGGGAGCCGGGAGGGGTCGGACAAGCCCAGGAAGAGGAGGAACCGGTGGAGAGGTTGCACACCACTGCCAGCCCTGCCCGCCTCCTCCCTCCCCCCGCGTGCTCTACGTGCTCTGCGTGCTCAGCCACCTTGGGAACAGGTGGAGGGAAAGTCAGGCTCCAGTGGACAAGAGGCGAGCAAGGACAGGGCTGCCGAAGGGCTTCCAGCAGGGGGAGCGCCGCCCAACAGTGTGGTTGGGCTT